TTTTTTAAGTGATGGGATTTTTGACTGATTGGTCCTTTACTTTGCAGCAGGCCCCCTGCCCAGAATATCCTATCTAATAAAAGAGAAACATGGTAATTAGCCGTACATCCGCTACCCTTCCCATTGGCTAATCAGGGTGATATGCAAATTAACTGCCAGCCAAGATGGTGGCCGGCAGCCAGGCTACTGACAGGAACAGGAGGCTTGCTTGCTTCAGTGACAGAGGACTCCAACGTTCCCCGCCTGCCACTGCTGGGCTCTGAGCTGCTAAGAAACATTATTACAAATATAGAAGCTAAACTAAACCCCAGAAACCTGTTTTCAGTCAGCCGGGATCTCAGAGCTGGAGTTGCAACAAAGTTTCAAATACAGAAAGTAAACAAAGCCAGAAACCTGCTTTCAGCAGCGAGGTCTCACAGCTAAAGCCAGCTCTCAGCTCCAGTGACAGCCATAAATCCAAGAATAAAAAAAAAAAAAAGGAAAAAAGGAGCGGTTGGGAGCTTCAGTCATCCGCCAACTTGAAAATGGTCCTCAGCCCCTCACCCAGGCTGGCCAGGCACCCCAGTGGGGACCCCCACCCTGATCCAGGACACCCTTCGGGCAAACCAGCCGGCCCCCACACGTGCACCAGGCCTCTATGCTACATAGTAAAAGGGTAATATGCCTCCCAGGACCGGGATCAGCGGAGCCGCGAGGCCTCCTGGCCCCTGGAGCAGCGTGACAGGGGGCAGTGCCCAAACCCCCTGATCACCCTGCTCTGTGCCTGATAGGGGGGAGCTCCCCAACCCCCTGATTGGCCCTGCTCTGTGGGTGATAGAGGGCGGCCCCCCAACCGCCCCCCTGGGCCCTGCTCTGTGTGTGACAGGGTAGAGCCATAACCTCCCATCAGCCCTGCCTGAGTGTGACAGGGTGCGGCGCCCCAATCCCCTGATCTGCCCTGCTCTGTATGTGACAGGGTACAGAGCCCCACCCCCCCTGATGGACCCTGCTCTGTGAGTGACAGGGGGCAGCACCCCAACACCCTGATTGGCCCTGCTCTGTGCGTGACAGGGGGTGGCACCGCAACCTCCCCATTGACCCTGCCTTGAGTGTGACAGGGGGCGGTGCCCTAACCCCCAAATAGGCCCTACCCTGAGCGTGACTGAGGGTGGCATCACAACCTCCCGATCCGCCCTGCTCTGTGCATGACAAGGGGCAGAGCCCCAACTCCCCAATAGGCCCTGCTCTGAGCCCGACCAGGGGCTGAACCTAGGGATTGGGCCTGCCCTCTGCCACCCGGGAGCAGGCCTAAGCCAGCAGGTCGTTATCTCCCGAGGGGTTGCAGACTGCGAGAGGGCACAGGCCGGGCTGAGGGACCCCTCTTTCTACCCCCCAGAGTGCACAAATTTTTGTGCACCGGGCATCTAGTCCTAATATATAAAAAGGTAGGGGCTGTCACAACCAAAACAACCAGATGGAAACTGAGCAGCAGGCTGTGGGGGCGGCCAGGCTACCAGGAGGGTTAGTGAGCGATGACCAAATGACTGAACAGCAGGCTGTGTGGGGCGACCAGGCTGGCAGGAGGGGCAGTTGGGGACAACCAGGCTGGTGGGTGGGCAGTTGAGGGCGACTAGGCTGGTGGGGGATTGGCAGTTGGGGGCGACCTGGCTGACAGGCAGAGGCGGATAGGGGTGATCAGGATGGAAGTGGGGGCAGTTAAGGGCGATGAGGCAGGCAGGCAGGTGAGCAGTTAGGACCTGCGGTCGTGGGTTGAGAAAGGGATGTCCGACTGCCAGTTTAGCAAATTATTGAACCCAAGGAAAAGTTGTGGAAATCCCTGGAAAGAAATTTGTGGGTAACCTGGGACCCATTATCTGGGGTTAGCATCTGAAGTTGGGGCAGATTGGTGGGACAGAACCCTTAACCTGTGGGGTCTTCAATAACTCCTGTTGGCGTCAGAATTGAGTTAAATCAGAGGAAAGAAAGTGGTGTCCACAGAGACTGGAAACAGCTTGGTGGGGAAATCCCACAGCTGGTATGGACTGTGAGAGTTGTAGAGGAGAAACAGAGGTGATTTTCCCCTTTCGGGCCCTGAGGAGGCCCCAGAAGAGCCAGTGGCCCTGGATCTGAAGGATGAATCAGGTCAGGCAGCCCTGGGGAAGGGCCAGGTGGGGCTGATTGGGTGTGGGGAGGCCCCAGGGCTGGGTCTCAAAGGACCCAGAATCCTGGGATAAAGAGTCTGGTTGTAGAAGAGTCAGACACACAGTATGCACTCAATCAATGTGTATTTAATTAATTTTGATTTTGCTCAAAAGTTGACTTGTTTATACTCAAAATATAAGCTGTGTATAGCATGTTGCTGCACACGTTCCCCAGGAAGGTGGAGCCTTCTGCTTTTGGCCAGGAGATTGGAAAGGATTCCTGTCAATAATAGAGTAGGTCCTCAGGTAACCTGGGAGATCAGTTTCTATAGCTTGACATAAGGCCATTTTTGCCATAAGTCAGATATGAAGTGAAACAGTACAAAAAAATGAAAAGAAAGGTAACAATTCCTGTCGTAACCAGGACATGATAAAGGTAACCCGAGGACTGCCTTTCCTGCATCTTGATTTTCTGGATCTTGATTTCTTCAGCCTGCAAAAGAAGGTGGGCGTGTCAGACAGGGCCCGGAGCTGACAATGGGAGGGGGGTATGGGCAGTCAGTTTGAAGGGGCTGCCAGACCTCCAGGCCGATGGAGGGCCCCACTACCTTCTCAGATCTGAACTGTGCCTCCTTAAAACCATCCCCAACCCTCCCTCTTACTCATATGCAGCCCCCACCGCCACCCCCAGACAGCCCCAGACCTCCCCAGATGCTAATCCCAGGCTTGCTCTGACCTTATTCCACCAGAAGAAGCTGATTCCTGTGAGTCCTGCTGCCACGGAGCCCACGGCTAGCACAAGCGCACCAGGCCCTGTTACTGATAACAGTAATTTCAGACCGCTCCCGCCCTATATGGAGGAAAAAAGGGGAAGGGTGACCTGTGACCCCAGGCTCGCCACGCAGGATAGAGACAATGAGGGGACTATGGGGCTCAGGGTCCTGGCTGACAGGACGGGTGGAACCAGGGGTAAGAGGAACACTCAAGATGGCACCATCCACTGAGCTCAGTGGGAAGAATGGGCTTCAAGGCAGATGCTGGCTCTGCTCCACCCTCTGTAGTGAGCAACTGGTGGCCTCAGGATGGCCCTTGGCCCTCTTGGCGCTGTCACCTCATAGGTCATGGGGATGGCACCTTTCAACCCCTGGGCTGGAGGGAGAAAGAAAGTGGCCAGTGGAACTGCTCACAGGGTGAGCTGGGCACCATGTAGAGCAGTGGTTCTTAACCTTCTGGCCCTTTAAATGCAGTTCCTCATGTTGTGACCCAACCATAAAATTATTTTCGGTGCTACTTCATAACTGTAATGTTGCTATTGTTGTGAATCATAATGTAAATATGTGATATGCAGGATGATCTTAGGCGACCCCTGTGAAAGGGTCGTTAAACTATCAAAGGGGTCGCGACCCACAGGTTGAGAACCGCTTCTGTAGAGGGTCTTTCAGGCTCTGGGGGATGTGGCCCTTCTGACACCCCCAGCTGGGGATGGAGGCTGAGGGACCCTGTGTAACCGGACAATCAGTGGGTCCGTGCTGCTGTCACTCCTTGAGCCAATTAAGCAGAGACAGGATTGAATCATTATGAGCGTTTATTCCAATGATGTTGGCAGCGTTGGTGAGCAGCAGGTCATCCCCAATCATCTGCTCTGCACCTCACCGTAAGCCCGCTGCTTATATTGAGTAGAAGGACAAAGATTACCTGGGGAAGTAGGCGAGTGTATGCCAAATGGGCAGTTTACAGGTCATACAGGCTGGAGATTTGCAAAGGCCTGAGCATCTGCAAAGGCTGGGGGTCTTCAAAGGGCTGGTGATATGGGAAGGGCTCCAGGCTCTGGTTTCTACAACTAGGCTGTTAGTCTTTCCATATTGATAGGCAGCTCCCTGGTGGGGATAATAGGATGCATTTCCAGGTGAGCTCCCAGCCAGGTTAGAATGTGCCTTATTTCATCAGAACAATCCAATCACGGTTAACAGAGCATGATTAATGTTTCTTACAATTTCAGTTGGTCCCCAATATTCTCTTTCTGCCCCTATCACCTGGGTCCTCTGAGAACTGGCCTGTCGCTTGAGATGCCCCAGCCCATGGTCCTGGGGTCTTAGCCCAGGGGGAAGCAGTGGGCCCCCTTATAGGCCCTTAGTTGTCCTGGGTGCACCCTGTCAGTGGGGGAAATGACCAGAGTCCTGTTTTTGTCCCAGGAACTGGTGGCTGGGCATGGCCAGGCCTGGCTGAATCTCACCAAAAGGAGCTTGAGTGCGGTACTTCCTGTTACCGGCATCTTCTCCAGGAATCAGAGCTCACACCTGTGGGGAGAACACCCAAGTCACCTACCCACACACTCCAACCCCCTAGGGCCTCAGGATCTGCTCCTCCAAGTCGGAAGCCAGGTCCCAACCTCACAGAGATCCTGCTCTGAGGGGATCACCTGGACAACATGAGACCTGAGGGTTAGTGGCTCTGGACCAGGCCCATATTCTGGGGGTGGAAGGATGGGGGTTTGTGTGTGGAGTCCCAGTGCCAGGCTTTGCCTTGGGCTCAGGAGTCTCCTCTGTAGGCCTGGGGGAGAGCTCACCTACTCCTTCCCCCCCATCCTCCCTCATTGCCTTTGAGCTCCCCAGCCTGGCTAGGGCTTCCCGTTGTAGGAGACATGCCTCTATGATTCATCTTCATAGAAAAGAAACAGCCTGTAGCCAGTCAGTTACTGAATATCCCAGGAACAAGCAGGATGTGGGAGGGGAGGTGGGGGGAGATTATGAGAGCTGTGCACCTGGCTGGTAGCACATTTTCCAGGAAGATTCCCTAGACAAAGGGAGGTGGAGACAATTAGAAAAGGCCTCAGCCAATTAAAAAACAACAACAACAACAAACAATAGGAGACAATAAGACCTAGGCGACCTATGGGATAGAATGTAAACTCCCTATACTCAGCCAAAGAACTGGAGGAGGGACTTTCACACAAGAGGAGAAATATTGCCTGTGCCAGCTAATTCAGGTGAGCCTGCACCAACGGACACCCGCTCTGGAGAGTTTTAAGTCTCATTTTCACCAGACTCTGTCTCTGAGTCTGTTATTTGAATTCAGACAGGTGAGCCCTTCCCACACTGTCTCCTCACCCACCGTGGGAAACTGTTTTGTGAGGGAGCCCCTGAGGCCACCAGCCCAGGCTTTGCCCCACCTCCTGCCCATCCTCTGCAGCCCCTCCAGCTGTGCCCCACCCATACCTTGAAAACCCAGACTTGGCTCCTGGGGCCCTGGGCCCCTCTCCTCTGCTCCCGGGGTCTATGGGGATACTCACCAGCAGCCCCCTCCCCCATCCTTGTCCACCAGGCTATTTCCTTTGGCTGCTCAGAATTCCTGACACCCCTCCTCCCCCAACTCACTGCTCCCAGCAGGACCCATGGATAAGAACCTGCCATGGGACACATCTGGGGAGGACCTGAGGGGGTGGCCATCTGACAGGTGGTAGTGGGGTGAGGGTGACCCCACTGAGTACAGAGAAAGGAACAGCTGGGGTCCTTGACCCACTGACACTCCCTGCCCAGCTCCCCCCGCACATTCCAAGGCCAGGGTGTCGCTAACCCTGGCTCTCACCCTTTGTCCTCAGTTGCCCTTCTGAAGGCAGATCTGCTTCCTGCCTGCAAATCATTTCCCTGCTGTATCTAGGCCCCCCTTGGCTGCGGCCCCCATTCCCTGAGGCTGAGCCTGCCGTCCTGTTCCAGAAAACGAACCCCCTGTCGGACTCCCACATCTTGGTGAGGCAGCTCTCCTACCCTGGTGCCCCTGCCTGTCCCCCTGCTCTTACCTTGAGGAGGAGGCCAACCTCTCTCCTCCTGCTCTGGCTGGTCTGACCCAGAAACAGACTTGGGACTTTGCTTCCTGCTCTTTCCGGTGTGTACCCAGTGGTTTCCCTGAAATCATGTGCCTTTTTTTCTGAGGTGATTATGATTCAGTTATTTTGTTTTCCTCTCACTTGCTCTGAAGAAAAAGCAGTTAACACATAGCTTTTTGTGAGACAACTAAGGACAACTGAGGGCGAGGGACAGAGGAGAAAATCAATGCCTGGGCAGGCTTGCCTCGTGGCTGCTAGAGGAGAAATATAGTTGAAGCCCCAGATACTAGGGGCAGTGCCAGGGGGTGGTGGGGACTGAGGCCAAGGATTCCATAATTCTGAGTCATTTGAAGAGGACCCTGAGCCTGTTGTGCAAACAGAGCTTCAGGTCCAGTCCTTGTGTCCAGTCCCCGCCCCACAGACTGCAGCCCCCATCCCGCACTCAGAATCCCCGGAGCCAACATTTTTTGGCAAAGGCCCTTCCCCTGGAAGCTCACAGTGGTAGAAATGCTATCAGAAATGTAGGAGGAGAGAACCAAGATGGCGGCGTAGGGAGTAGACCTGTGCGTGCTGCCTCCCACAACATCATTGAAACTGTTACAGTTAATCCCTTCTTGTACTGGGGAAATGGAACCAACTGTGGTCGAGGGTAGCCCAGGGTATGGGGCAAGTTGATATTAGTAGTTGGGAAACGGGGCAAGTTGATATCAGTAGCTAGAGCAACTGGGCAAGTTGATTAATGAAGACCGTGGTAACGGGGCAGTGTTCATTAATGTACCCCAGGTAACTTTGGGTGTGATTAGCCAACCGTTGTATGGTTTTTGGGAATAAAAGCCTGGCCCAGAACCAGGGTTGGTGCTGTCGTGGGAGAACACGCCTACTGCAGGCGCTGGCCAGCTTTTCAATAAATCCTCACTTGCTGCTTAAGACCTAATTGGAGTTGGTGGTCTTACTCTCTCAAACATTGGTCCATAACAAAACTACCAACTATAAGACAAACAACCACCACTCAGAACCATGGGGAAGTTGGCCCAGTGGGAGATCTACAACTGGAAGAAAAGAAAGAAGCGCAGTGAGACTGAGTGGGAGCTACAGAGGCGCCCAAAACAGAGGTACACAGTCGCACGCCAGGCGGGCTGCAACTGGATGCGCAGTTTTTTTTCATTCGGAACCGGTTACGAACCCTCAAATCCTCTGGGCTTGCTCGGGCCAGACTCTGAGGCCCCAGGCCCCACGGGGAGAGGCGGCACAGCCCTGCAGTGGTCGGAGAGCGGGGGAGGCTCTGGCGCGAGCTGCTCACCAGCACTGGGGGACGCAAAGTCGGGTTTCCAGGAGAGGCGAGGACCTGCAGAAACGCCGCCATTGCTGTTTGCCCCGCCCTGGCAGCTTCCTGAGACCCCGCCCTACTCAATTTACATCCCCATCCAAGCTGTGCCAGGTGCACACAAAGACCCACCTGCGCTTTTGCAGCCTAGCCCAACAAATTGCAGACTTCAACTCCCCACACCCATGGGAGACGCGCTCAAGAAGCAGACCCAGGAGAACCAAGAAGGCAGCGTAAGGAAGAGACCGGTGCATGCTGCCTACCACAACAACATCGAGGCTACCAACTGTGGGACAAACAGCTATCATATGGAACCATGGGAAAGCTGGCCCAGTGGAGGCTCTACAACTGGAAGGAAAGAAAGAAGAGCATTGAGACTGAGTAGGATGTGCAGAGGCACCAAGTACAGAGCCCAACCCAGCAGGCTTCAGATTTCGGCTCCTTGCATCCGGGAGGGACGCACTCGGGGGGCAGAGTAGGGTTCGTGGCAGGCCGGGGCTGGGCCGGCTGGGCCAGCGATGTGGAACCGCTGTACCAATAGGCGCACAAGCACGTCCATCGTTTCCAGTCTCGTGTGGGACGCTGGGGGACGGCAGGCGGGCAGTCTGTGCACTTGGTGGTGGGCGAAGTCCGAGCAGGCATACTGGATGTTCGGCCACCAGGAAAGCCTGGAGATTTTGTCTGGTGGGGAGCCGCCCGGCAGGGGACAGAGTGCCAAACTTTGAGTTTCCCCAGTGAGGCTGGGATGGCCCCGGTAAGGTCGGGGTGACCCCGGTGAGACCGATGCAGCCCCGGTGAGTTCGGGACGGCCCTAGTGAAGTTGGGACGGCCCCAGGGAGGCCGAAACGGCCCCAGTGAGGCCGATACAGCCCCAGTGAGGTCGGGAGGGCCCCAGTGAGGTTGCGGTGGCCCCAGTGAGGTCGGGGCGGCTCCAGTGAGGTCGGGACCACCCTGGTGAGGTGGAAACCGCCCTGGTGAGGTCGGGACGGCCCCGGTGAGGTTGAAACAGCCTCGGTGAGGTCGGGACGGCCCCAGTGAGGTTGAGACAGCCCCGGTGAGACCGAAATGGCCCAGGTGAGGTCAGAATGGCCCCGGTGAGGTTGAAACGGCCCTAGTTAGGTTGGGAAGGGCCCGGTGAGGTCGAAACAGCCCCAGTGAGGTTGAAACAGCCCTGGTGAGGTCGTGACGGCCCCAGTGAGGTCGGGACAGCCCCGGTGAGGTTGAAACGGCCCCGGTGAGGTTGGGACGGCCCCGGTGAGGTTGAGACAGCCCTGGTGAGGCCAAAATGGCCCAGGTGAGGTTGGGACGGCCCCGGTGAAGTCGAAATAGCCCCGGTGAGGTTGAAACGGCCCCGGTGAGGTTGTGACGGCCCCGGTGAAGTCGGGAGGGCCCTGGTGAGGTTGAAACGGCCCTGGTGAGGTTGGGACGGCCCCGGTGAGGTTGAGACAGCCTTGGTGAGGCCGAAATGGCCCAGGTGAGGTCGGGACGGCCCCGGTGAGGCTGGGACGGCCCCGGTGAAGTCGAATGGCCCCGGGGAGGTTGAGACGGCCCCAGTCAGGTCAAGACGGCCCTGGTGAGGTCGGGACTGCCACAGTGAGGTCAAGACGGCCCTGGTGAGGCCGAAACGGCCCAGGTGAGGTTGGGACGGCCCCAGTGAGGTTGGGACAGATAATGGGGACCAGTATAGACTGATGAACAGGGGTAGATGCTGAGGCAGAACAGCATTGAACAAACTGTCAAACTACAGTGGGAAGCCTGGGGAGGGTTTGGGGGGCGGTTAAGAGATCAACCGAAGGACTTATATGCATGCATATAAGAATAACCAATGGACACAAGACACTAGGGGGTAGGGGCTGGGGGAATGTCAAACGGGGGGGTGGGGGGGGAAGGAGACATATGTAATACTTCAAGAAATAAAAATTATTAAAAATAAATAAAATAAAATAAACAATGAAAAAAATAAGAAATGTAGCAGGAGAGGAGGAGATTGTGACCGGAGGTGGGAGGTGGGGGAGGCAGGGAGGAACCAATGAGAATAATTTAAAAGTGGAAGGGTTAGAATTTTATTATACTGAAGTTTGTCCAAGCACAAAATTTTTTAGATATTATTAAGATTAAGTAAAACTGCCTAAATCTAATGAACTTTTTGGCACAAAAAATAAAAAAAGAAAGAAAGAAAGAGAAAAAGAAATGTCGCAGGAATGAGATAAACACTGGAAACTGGATCTGCAAGGCCATCTACCCCTGCGCAGAAGGGTGCTCTCCCAGCTGGAAATCAAGGGCAAAGCACAGAAAGGGAAGTCTGATGGGGTTTTATTTCCTGACACGGGGTCTGCCCTGCCCCTCACTCTGAACTCTGACTTGATTGGTCAGGGCTCAGAGCTCGGCTTCCCATTATTGTGTGATTGGCTAATTCAGAGGAAGGGGAGGGGTAAGACAGAGCCCAAGATGGTGGCCCCCAGGGGAGCTGTAAGTCCTGTGGGCCTAAATGGCAGCTGCCTAAACGGCTCTTTGACAGAAAAGCTTACTTGTTTATTCTCACAACAGCCAGAAGCCTTCAGTCTTGGGAGACTTTCTGGAGGAGGTAACATTTGGGCCTGGGAGGGCAACAACCAAGGGGCACCCTGGGGAAGGCCAGCAGGAGGGGCCTGAGGCTCCTGGGGAAAGTCCTGCAGGGAGGACCCTCAGGGAGGGCCCCTGACACAGACAAAATAACAATCAAGCTCACCGCCCGCCACCTACCCACCCCCACCCCCCACCCAGCACCCACCATCCCTGTGTCTCTGCATCTGCCTACCCAGCTGAACTTGCTGAGCATGCAGCCTGCCGGACGTGTGCCTTGAGAACCAGGGGAATACAGAGTTCCTGTTCGAATGCATGATAATTTCAGTTAATTGAACTAATAGCCTGTAGTTGGGCATTTAGTTTTTTTCTACTTTTTTTTATTATGAAGTTGTGCCAGCAGTATATGTACATGAATGAGTTAAAATAAAAACATTCAAACCCGTAAAGAATTTTTGTGAGTTTATTTGAGCCAAACTCTACAATTGCCGGGAAGCAGAACCTCAAGGGATTGAGATAATGCTCTAGATCAGGAGTCCTCAAACTTTTTAAACAGGGGGCCAGTTCACTGTCCCTCAGACCGTTGGAGGGCCGGGCTATAGTTTAAAAAAAACTATGAACAAATTCCTATGCACACTGCACATATCTTATTTTGAAGTAAAAAAACAAAACGGGAACAAATACAATATTTGTATTTGCATGTGGCCCGCGGGCCGTAGTTTGAGGACCCCTACTCTGGAGAATGGTGGGTTACATCTATATTTATACATTGCAATCAAAGGAAGAAACGTAGGTGAATTACATGAAATCCATTGGTGATAGATCAATGGATGGGAAAAAGCAAAGTGGGGGGTGGGGGAACCCCTGGGATTGGATAAAAAGTGAAATGATAGACATGTACTTAGGTGGGTGCAGGATCAATGAACATGATAACAATGAAGGAGTTTGTGGTGTCTGTCCTGGCACATTAGGTTGTGCCCCAAAGGGAAGTGACAAGTTACTCAGATATTTCAAGGGTATGTTTTCATAGATGCAAAGAGACAGATAGGCTCAGTTAAGGTAAAGGTTGACCTTATCAGTGAAGATACCGGCCTAGGATATAACTACCCACCATAACTGCTTTTAGTTAAAGTTTAATTTCAGACCATCCTTTG